TATGCAGTTCCACTGTAAATGAAAATGTTAACAGATGTACTGCTTAATGGCGTAGTATGAGACGTGATCATTTGTTGGGGGTACAATTCCAGATCGTTGGAGTTGCTGCTAATAGTCCACTCAAAAATGAAAATCTCAACCGAGGAGATAAAGAGATCAGAGAGCGCTCTGGATGAGAGACGCTCAACGCTTGTGTGTGATGATAGTGCCACTATGATGAAGAAGAGTGATGAGGTATAGGATGAAGTGTGTCATCAGTTGGCTGCTACTACGGAGCCTAGATAGAGAAATGGATGGATTCAGAGCTGAGGGAGCACAAAAACGACAACAAATCAAGGAAAAACACATCTTTGCAAACAGTGCAAGAGTGGCGACGGAAAGCTGGCTTTAGCACGCTATTATTTTCATCATGTTGACTTCTGATTGGTCTACGATGTTGTTTTCCTCTTCTGACGGGGCTTCAAAGATGCAAAGGGCGCATTACACCTGTCACATTATCAGCACTCATTAGCTTTCACAAACAACCCTTTGGGTGACTCGTAAACAGTCTCTGCTCCATTCACGTGGCAGCCACATTAGGAACCTCGGATATTGTAACGCATTGTCTAAACACTGGCGAGAGCAAGTTAGGGTCACTCTTCACCCCCCTTGTGATACCTTAGAAACACCTGAGTTTGTTTCTGTCTCCCTCTAGTGCCAGGTGAAGGCAGTGCACCCAGGCATGGACCGGCCCATACGTCATGGCACCTTTTTTAGTCCTGACCCTGGAGTTTCCCTGCAGCCCAGTGTTGTCTATTCCACTTCAAACTCCTTAGTCATTGCATATGTTGTTATTCTTCCTCTAGAAAACATCCTGTGGCTTCAGGTCACAAACTTTTATTGTCTGGGTTCAGAAGTTAAAGCTCGGGGAACTCTGGGTGACTGCTGTTCCCTGTAATTCTGCGGTGGTTCTGCTAGTGGAAGCCAGTCGTTTCATTTGTGGGACAACACTGTTACTCTTTTGTTTTGATTGTTGAGTTCAGAATTGGGCATCTAGAACTTAGTTGTGACCAGAGGAAAGTGCCGTGACATTTTCATTCAGAATATGTGTGCAATGTGCATTTTTATTTTTTTTAATTAATGCCTGTTCTGTCTTTTTGTCATTTCTTTTCAGAAAGACCCAGTGTTTGGCACAGAGATTGATCACCACAGGTTCAAGTCTCTTCCAGCGATCAGCAGCAGAGTCAGTGACCTCTCCAGTCTGGAGGTGTGTATGAGGACAAATAAGCCTTCATGCTGCCGTTTATTATCATTATTTACCTATTTATCTGTACAGGGCTGTCCCAAGCATGGTTACGTTCGCATCACCCTTAGGACGGCCTTTTATCTGTCTATATGTTTGTACAATGTAGTTCTTTACCAAGACATTATCATGGTGTTTTGTTCTGAATTGTCTTACTAATGTTGTTTCTGGCTCTTTCTCTTTTTCTCGCTTGCAGTTCAAGCCTACTCTTTCTCAGCTCTATGCGGACCTCAAGTCCTTTGAGCACCATTTTGAGTGGCTGAACAGAATAACACGCAAGCAGCAGCACAGCTCAGTACCAAAGCTGACAGACATGATCTCCCACATTAAGAGCCTCATACACTCCTTGCAGCGTCAGGTACAGGCTCACACACACACATCTCTCAGCAAACTGTTACAAGAATGGCTTACCCATTGTTTATGAAACCTATAAACTGTAGATATATGTAATATAAATATAAAATATAATATACACTACTGTTCAAAATTTTGGGGTTAGTATGTTTTTTTTTTTTTTTTAAGAAATTAATACTTTTATTCAGGAAGGATGCATTAAAGAGATAGTAAAGACGTATATAATGCTACAAAAAAACTATTTCAAATAAATAATTTTCTTTTGAATGTTCTTTTCATCTATCCATCTATCTATCTATCTATCTATCTATCTATTTATCTATCTATCTATGTATTTGTATTAAATAAATAAATTAATTTAAATCTCTTAGATGTATTTTTACAGAGACTATAGTTACATGGAAATATCATCAGTGCGTTCATGATTGTGATTTTTTTTTGTGTTATTTTTCAATTTCAGATGACCCGAGCAGAGGCTCCCCGGATCCCTGCTCCCTCTCCCTCACTCCCACCTAATCTCGCCTTTCACTGGGAGGTGGTTCAGTCCTCTCAGGAACTCCTGCAGCAGTTCAGGCTCTTCTGTGACTGGGCTTCACGAGTGTTCCTTACCCTTAAATCTAAATTACCAGCATGAGGAACCTCAATGGCATCACGCAAAAAAAGCAAAAAAACAACGGGCGGTAAACTGTCTCCTTTACAATACAGCAAAAATGGCCATGACTCAATCATTATTACAGTCCAGGGATGGACTGGTTATAGGGAGCACCGGGCCTTATTCCAGTGGGTCGGGTCAACTTGTGGGAAAATAGTTTTGATATTGTCAGGCCGGAACATCTGAGTAACAGGAGGGTAGTTGAATATTTCAACCCTTTCACAACCTACTCTTGGTCAGCTTAGTTCTAACCGCCACTGCTTCGCGCTTTCGAGCCAATCATAAGAATAAGAGTGAATCTGTGCTTAATACAATTCTGCATTTTCAGACATGCATAATTATGAATATTGCATATGGAACCAGGAAGACGACGATTGATTTGATCAACTGAAATGTAGTGCCATAGGATTATGACCTCTCAAAAAATGTGGTCCAGTCCCAGGAATAGGGGTAAACCGAGTCATATAAAGGGGCAGATTACTGACGCCATATTGGACAAAAGTGATGTGAATCGTGAGAACGATTTTAAAAATCCCTGAATATTTGTGTGGTGGATTTGTGGTGGGTTGTGATGGGCTGTGTACACCCCAGACCCCCCAGATTTGTTTTTAGTCCCAGTCCATCCCTGTCGCAGTCTGAAGTCTGATCTGAAAATAAGAGTGCACTCCAGTCGACATCCTGCTTCTGACGCTCCATTTAACCTTAAACCTTCCTTTACCTTTTCTTTTTTATACAAATTCATTTTTCAGAACTATTTGTTATTTATGTATTTATTTATTTATTGACTAGTTATTTATTTGAAGATATTATTTATTTAATTTCTCGATAAACGTGTCAACATTCTTTCATTTGCAAGTCAAGAAGTAAAATGTACTCTCTTTCTTATTTTCCTATTCATCAGCTTCTCTTGTACCACACACAAAACCACATGTATGACAGCTCCATTTCATGTCTCTTATTAAACTGATTGTATTTTTATACAAATACATTTCCTTCTCACTGTTACCTAGGTTACAATACTCTGACACTAGATGTAGCAATATTTTGGGAGTGTAATGTATGTCAGCGCTGAGTGAGAGAGGACTGGCACTGACCTGAACTTTGCTTGTCTTTCTTTTTTGTTGTTGTTTTTATTTTTTGCACAGCATATTGGGGTTTATATGATTTTTTATTGTCAGTTCTGTGATTCAGGAACATGTTTTGATAAACCTTATTTCAAGCAACATAAGAAAAAGACAACCTAAGCCTTAAAATACTATGTATTGTGATACTTTGGTACTGTAAAGCTGTACATACATGCTGCCGAATGTAAACTGGTATATACAATGAGTATATACGTATATTATTTTCCATAATATAAAGTCCAGTGCTCTATCAATGTGTTGCAATATCAACGTTATTTTTTTCCTTTCCCTCCCCTTTTTTAGGATTTTGATACAGTATTTACTATTTATTGATATGATTATTATTATGGTTATTATTAATTATAATGATTGTTCAAATTATTTATTTTCGCGAATCAGAAGCAAGACTTCTGTCATGTTTTGTACTTTTATACTATTCACCACCAATCATCATCTCTGTTTAGGTTGGTTTCTGTGTCTACATAGACTGAACATTGCTACATGTTTGTGCACTAAATATGCAAAAACTGGCTGTGTTTAACTGTGTGCCTTCTGAGAGAGACAATAAAGGAACTTACATGTAAACTGTAGACATTTTGTTGTTATTGTCCATTGTCTAAAAGCAAAGACTATGATTATGAATGTTACTATAAAAAAGTGGGATATACCTTTAAAACAGGATAACTGTTCTTTACTTTTGAGTAGGCCTGCATATTTTCTTACTGTGGTAGGTGTAATGGCATATAATAAGAACGTACTGAGCAAGCAATGACGTATGAGGTAAACTACATTACCCACAAGCCCTTGCGCAGCGCCAAACCAGTGCATAAAAGATAATTTCTTTGTCTATAAAGCTCAATTGAGACTTATCTAGGAAGCGATATTTGTATAATAACCTAATGGGTTTATTCCTTGTGGGTTTTAAACAAATCCACCGATAGTCTATGCATAATTTAATAAAAAGTTCGTCACAGTATTTTTTTCGACCAATGAGACGAGCCAACAGGGGAGGTGTGCGAACCAATAGCCGATGACTTTACTGAGAGGCGGTCACAGACGGGCGACTGCTGGTTAGTTTGTGCTCTAGATTATTGTTAAGGTTGTGTGGACTATCACTGCGGAGTTCGGCCTTATATCATTACATCAAAATCGGCCATTTCACAGCAATGAACCAGGGGAATAACACATGCATGGAATAATGCACTTATTCCGACAAATATTGCGACGCTTGAGGAACGAAGACAAGGCTGGGATGAATTCGAGAAGGCCGGATCGAGAATGGCATATAATAAGAACGTACTGAGCAAGCAATGACGTATGAGGTAAACTACATTACCCACAAGCCCTTGCGCAGCGCCAAACCAGTGCATAAAAGATAATTTCTTTGTCTATAAAGCTCAATTGAGACTTATCTAGGAAGCGATATTTGTATAATAACCTAATGGGTTTATTCCTTGTGGGTTTTAAACAAATCCACCGATAGTCTATGCATAATTTAATAAAAAGTTCGTCACAGTATTTTTTTCGACCAATGAGACGAGCCAACAGGGGAGGTGTGCGAACCAATAGCCGATGACTTTACTGAGAGGCGGTCACAGACGGGCGACTGCTGGTTAGTTTGTGCTCTAGATTATTGTTAAGGTTGTGTGGACTATCACTGCGGAGTTCGGCCTTATATCATTACATCAAAATCGGCCATTTCACAGCAATGAACCAGGGGAATAACACATGCATGGAATAATGCACTTATTCCGACAAATATTGCGACGCTTGAGGAACGAAGACAAGGCTGGGATGAATTCGAGAAGGCCGGATCGAGACGGCGCAAATAATGCAATAAACAGCCAATAAAACGACCCACTGTTGATTTGTATAGAAACTAAGGGGTGAGTGCGCTTTGCCCACTTGAAGCCTTTTATCTTCATTTTTTGTTTAGATTTTTTCCCTATTTCCCTGAGACAAGAAGGCAGGAACACACAGATAGATAGCGGGTGAGGGAGGGGGAGTGGAGCAGGAGCAGGAGCAGGAGGAGGATCTTTAAAGGGGAAGGTGGATCAACACTCAGATCGTCTGTTTACTACCGAGAGTCAATATTGAGGAGGATCAGAATTACTCGTGGAAAGAATTATTGTAAAATAACATGCAGTCTTGTTTTAAAAGCTTCTTAATGCTGGGACTATCTGTTTTCTAATTCTAATTTATTTGGTTTAGCACAAATTATATTACTAGCATAACATTTTGAATGAAGAGTTGAATTGTGGAAAATTAATTTCAGAATGTTTTAGTGTTTGGTTAGAATTAGTTTTTGCTTTAATGACACTCCACAAGTTTGTTGCATGATCCAAGGAGCATCTTGTTTCAGTGGAAGAAGAACATCTGACCATCAGACTCTGTACAAAGCAGTTTTTCATGATCAATGGCACACATTTACCTGACCTAAATGCAGAATCTTAAATATATCATACTCATTTTGAATCATAACATTTGTTTTTGTTCAAAATTTCTGTTTTTCCTGGCTCATATTACAACAAGTGTAGTCTCAGACATTTATGATCAACTGTATAATTTTATTTACAATATGTCAACAGTTCTGTGCTGTTTTTGCTTCAGGGCCCAGTTTTGGCACTCAGAAGAGGTGGAGTGTTACATTCTTTCTTTCTTACATATATGTGTGCAAAAGTAAACAAAAAAATTTTTTTTTTCTTTAAAATGTATTAATATTACCATGAACTATGTTTAAGGATTTGAGTCATATGGTCAGCAGGCTAATTTGAGTGTTTCGAAATGTCACTTGAATTTCAGTGGTTTTCAATTTTCAATTGATATCCATGGCAGGCAATAATTTGTAACACAAAAACTTTTTTTTTTTTGCAATACAAAAAAAGTTTATCCTAATTTGCTTTGCATAGTTGTATTTATAGTTTTTAAGTATGAGGAAGTGTAAAAAAAGCTGATGTTGACATCTGTCTAATTTGACCAAAAATGAAAGGAATATTAAAGGAATATTTCACCAAACTAGGGCTGCACGATTAATCAAATGCGATTGTCATGCTCATTTTGATAGTAATGCCGGTTCTGTAATCAGCAAGAAATCATCATCACGTGCTTTCAGATGGAGCAGAATTTACTACACATAGCCATAGTTCACTGACAAGTTATGCAAAAAAATTGCAGACGATTTTATTGCACGATTCTGAAATCGAAGAAATCGTTCTGCGATTATGAAAGCTGTTTGCATAGCTTCTCAATGAACTACGGCTCTGTGAAGTAAATGCTGCTCCATCTGAAAGCATGTGAAAATACCACATTTAATAACATATTTTTACTCCAAACTCACTTCATAACGTCAGGCGAGTGTTTGAAATAAATCCTTCTGTGAGATGTGGCTTCTTACACAGAATAAGGCACGCAACATATTTCATAGTATTTAACAAAAAACAAATAGAATAGAAAGAGCTTTATGCCAAGTATGTTTGCACATACAAGGAATTTGTTATAGTGTCACAAGCTGTTTGATAAAGGCATTGCATTATTTATATACTTTATTTTAATGAAAATTATAATAATAAGAACTCAGATAAACCATGTATTGCCGTAGTCGTGTGTTTATTAGTCACGTTGAATCAGTAAAAGCAGTTAAATCTTTTGTTTATTCAGCTGCAGCGATAGGCATTTTCTGGGTTTCTTCTGCGAGGCGTATTTGGAGTTTCAGCACGAGAGCACACTCTGACCTTCGGATGGAGATTGGCTGATCACAGAACCGTGCTTCACTGAAAGATATGCATGACAATCGCAGCTTCTGTCGAATCGCGATCTTGATTCCATTTCGATTTATCGTGCAGCCCTACACCAAACAATGAAAATTTGCTGAAAATGTACTCACCCTCAGGCCATCCAAGAAGATGTAGTTGAGTTTGTGTGTTCATCAGAACAGATTTGGAGATATTTATCTTATCTCACTTGCTCACCAATGGATCTTCTGCAGTGAATGGGTGCCGTCAGAATGAGAGTCCAAACAGCTGATAAAAACATCACAATAATCCACAAGTGATCCACACTACTCCAGTGAAGCAAAAACTGCATATTTGTAATAAACATATCCAGCATAAAGATGTTTTTAACTTCAAAACATTGCTTATATATTGCTTATGATATATTTATAATATAAAGTTAAAGTTAAAATGCCTTATGTATTTGTGTCTTGCAAACAAGCGGCTTTTTGCTTCACAGTACATTATTTAATGAATTGGAGTCGTGTGGATTACTTGTGGCTTATTGTGATGTTTTTATCAGCTGTTTGAACGCTCATTCTGACGGCACCCATTCACTGCAGAAGATCCATTGGTGACCAAGTAACGCTAAATTTCTCCAAATCTGATCCAATGAAGTATATTTTCAGCAAATTTTCATTCATGGGTGAACTATTCCATTAACAAAACATATGAGAAACATTTTCATATGAGGACCTGAAATGTCTATTTATTTTGTTATCCATTACATGCATGATTATATGGATATAATCTGAACAACATCTAAAAATAAATTTCCCCTTTGTTTTCGTTAGGGCTGCACGATAAATCGCATGCGATATTTAATGCGCATCTTGTCAGAAAGCCGGTTCTGTAATCAGCGGTAAATCTCCATCACCTGCGGGCTTTCACATTGAGCAGCATTAACTACACAGAGCCGTTGTTCACT